GAGCGAGCAGCCCGAGGAGGCTGCGCGGAGGCGGCGGCCGGAGTCCGCGGAGCTAGAGGCTGCGCACAGCCTCACGCTGGGCCGCTACGAGCAGCAGGAGCGGCGGCGCGAGCGGCGCGAGCGGCGGCTGGAGCGGCAGGAGTCCAGCGAGCAGGAGACGCCCACCAGAGGAGACCTGGTCAAGGGGTGAGGGCCCCCCTGGATCCCAGCGGGATTGGAAGTGCGGGGTGGGGGGAGAAAGAGTTGGGGAGCTACGCCGCCCTAACACCGGAGGCTCGGAATTGCCTCCCGCCATCGGTCCCAGGATAGTACCCACTTCACAGAGGGGCAAACTGAGGCTAAAGTTAGCTAGGAGATGCGCCCCGAGCCTCCGGGTTGGCAAACTCCCGAGCGACCCCGGGCGAGGGATCTTGTCTTCCCTGCGCCTCCGTTTCTAGGCGGGGCTCACTTGGGCACATGCCCCGCCCCCAGGCTGGAGATCAGCCCCTTCATCATCCTCTCCGCAGCCTTGAGGTTTTAGAGATGAAGTAACGGAGAGGGCACGGAGAGGGCGGATTGAGGATCCATCCAGGCAGGCGTGCCCCAGGAAAGACTCCTTTGGCCAAATATTTCTTGGAGACATGATGCCACCTTCACTCCCTTTGGACAAAATATGCATGTGACCATTTGCCGAGTGCCCACTCTGCCCCGGGTGTGTGCCAGGGGACAGCCCTGCCCCTGTTGCGTGGAACTCACAGTCCAAAGGGGGCCAGCACCTCTCACCAAACAGTAAAGACCCAACATGGTCAGGGCCAGCCTGGAGGCCTGGGGGGCAGGGCAGGGGAGAGAATTTGAAGGCACCCATCCGTTGGGACCTTGCTTTGGGTGGCATATGGGCTGCAACCAGGAAGTCAGCAGTTCGGAACCACCAACTGCTCCTCGAGAGACAGATGAGACTCTGCTCCGGTAAAGAGCGCCAATCTGGGAAACCCACAGGGACAGTTCTACCCTGCCCCATATGGTCGCTAGGAGGCAATCGACGGAATGGCAGAGAGTGAGTTACTTGGTGTTAGCTAAAACTCAGGGTTTGGTCCCCCATTCGGAAGACGGGTGGGGGAGAAGAAATGGGCAGGGGCCTGGTGCTTCTGAAGAAGGGGTGAAGGCTGGTCCCGGAGAGAAGGCACCCCAGTTCCATTGAACCTTTGTCTCCCCTCGACAGGAAGGCCACCCTGGCTGACATTGTAGAACAACTGCAGGAGAAGGAGGCCAGCCCTGGGCACCCTGCTGGAGTAAGTTGGGTTTGGAATGGGTGCGACTGTGGGGTCCCCTCTCCTCAGAGGCAGGGCCCAGGGTCCCCTCAGAGAGCAGCAGAGACTCCCAATGGGTGAAGAGGGTCCCGGATGCTCCTGAATTCGCCGCCCTTAGGAAGATGTCTCCATAGACATTTCCATCCCACCTCCAGGAGCCTCTGCCTCTAAATGGATCAATCTTCCAGACACCTCCCACAAATGTGGAGAATCCTGACCCCCCCCCCACGGAGAAGGAAGCCCCAGATTCCTCCCACAAAGAGGACACCCCCTCCCCTCAACCCCTCTGCCAAAGATTTAGCTCCTTGTCCCCAATCTCTAGGGATTTCAAATACGAATCCTGACATTTCCAAGAATGTGGGGTGGGGGTGGGGTGGATCCTGAGGTCTTCGCGACTCACTTCCAAGAGAGATGACCCCCCACCTCAGGCAGACAGGACAGTGAGACCCGTGGACACACCTCCCCTTTCCTTGACAAATGACCCCTACACCTCGTACGGACAGCACTCCTCTCTCCCCTCTCTCCACACAGCCATCGCTGCCCCAGCCTCGCGAGCTTCCCCCCGGCCGTCTACCCAACGGGCTGGAGCCGCCCGAGCGGACACCTCGGCCTGACCGGCCGCGGGCGCGGGACCGACCCAAACCCAGACGGCGGCCGCGCCCCCGAGAGGGAGGCGAGGGCGGGGGAAGCCGGCGCTCGCGCTCCGCCCCTGCCCAGGGAGGCTCCGCCCCCGCGCCCCCGCCCCCGCCCAGCCACACCGTGCAGCACGAGGGCTTCCTGCTGCGCAAGCGCGAGCTCGATGCCAACCGCAAGTCTTCCAACCGGTGAGAGGGCTGGGCGGTTTTGGAAGGCGGAGCTCAAATTCAGGCTGTCCAATGAGTGAGCGAATGGGTCTGAGGAGGCGTTGTTACCGACGTCGGGGACGCGTACCCGGAGGGGGCGGGGCTTGATGAGGGGGCGGGGCTCAACATGTGCGACTCCAACCAATGATGGGAGGAGTGGGGGGGTCTAAGCTTAAAGTGTTCTGTCCAGTAACAGGTGGAACTAGATGCGGACTGGATGGGGCTGAAAGTGAATAAATTGATACTTAATCTCAAAGCAATCAACCCAGGACTGTAGCCAACTGGAGGCGGAGCCTGAAGTGGTCATCTAATTAAGGAGTAGGATTGGGCCAGCTTGAAGTTACAAGGGTGTGAAAAGGGAGAGAACCCAAACTGAGCACCAAATAGTTAAAGCTACCCGTGAGGCACCTTGTAATAAATAGTCCAAGCTGGGCAGGGGCTTGGGTTGGGGAGTGGAAAAACTAACAGTGATGTGTTTATTCTTGGATTCAGCACCTGGTTGTCCAAAACCTTACCCCCTCCCTTTTTATTTAGTTATTTATTTATTTTTAATCATTTTAGCGGGGGCTCGTACAACACTTATCACAATCCTTCCATCCATCCTTTGTGTCAGGCACATTTGCACATTTGTTGTCATCATCATTCTCAAAACATCTGCTTTCTACTCCAGCCCTTGGCATCAGCTCCTCATTTCCCCCCTCCCTCCCCATTGCCCCTCCCCGAAAACCTTTTTTGTCCAAGTGAGAGACAGTCTGGATAGAGCTGAGCTCGACAGGGAAGCGCCTGTTGACAAATGAAGCGAGGTCTAGACAAGACACAGAAGATGTAAACATGGGGGGTGTGGGGGAGTGAGGGGACCTACGGTGGGGGATAGTGGCTAAGGAAGGGCAACCCCAGCAGAGGCCAGCCTGGGCCAGGCCATAGTACTGGGATATTTAGACCCTTCACTGAACTCGGTGGCATAGTGGTTACTCATTAGACTGCTAACCTCAGATCAGAAGTTCAAGGCCACTCCTTGGGAGAAGCAGGACTTTCTAGGCCCATATCATTACAGTCTAGGAAACTCACAGGGGCAGTTCTGTTCTGTCCTGTAGGGTGGCTATGAGTTGGCATTGGCTCAGTGGTGGTGGTGTTGGTGGTGTGTGTGTGTGTGTGTGTGTGTGTGTGTGTGTGTACTCAGCGGACCCAGGCACTGGGCTGCTAACTACAAGATTGCCAGTTTGAAACCACTGGCGGTTCCTCGGGAGAAAGAGAAAAAATTGCCGTTTCAGAAATCCACAGGGAGGGCAGTTCTCCCTTCTTATAGGGTCACTAGGAGTCGCAGTCAGCTGAAGGCAGTGTGTGAGAATGTTTCAGCTCAGTGAGAGCCATAGGAAGAGCACTGGGCTCCCATGAGAGTCAAAGTCCAATGATTGGGAGGCTCTGCACCATCAGCGCCGCGCGCGCGCGCACACACACACACACACACACACACACACACACACACACACCCCACCCCACCCCCCACCCCCAGCCAGCCAGCCAGCCAAGTGCTGGGCTCTGATTCCAGCCCTGTCTCCTCCCCTAGGTCCTGGGTGAGCCTGTACTGCGTGCTCAGCAAGGGGGAGCTGGGTTTCTACAAGGATTCTAAGGGACCAGCATCAGGGAGCACACACGGCGGGGAGCCACTGCTCAATCTGCATAAGGCCACCAGTGAGGTGGCCAGTGACTACAAGAAAAAGAAGCATGTCTTCAAGCTCCAGTGAGCCCCCACAACGCCAGTGGGCAGGCGGGAGGGCCTCCTGAAACCCAGCTCCCCCCACCGGACAGCCCCCGAACTCCCCTGGAGAACTTCAGTCGGTGGGTGAGTCAGGCCTTTGGCCCAGTTCCTCCAAGCCCTTTGTCCTCTCTTGCAGGACCCAGGATGGTAGTGAGTTTCTGCTCCAGGCCAAAGATGAGGTGAGATCCGGGGACCATTCCCTCCTCTCTGTGAGCCTCCGGAGTGAAGGAGCTGTGGTAGGGGCTCCCCCAGGCCAGAGTGATAAGTTCTGTGATGGGTAGCTCCTGGGACATGAGCACCAGAGTGCAGAGAAAGCTGGAGGCCCCTGGCCCTGGCCTCTTAAGTTGCAAAGGGACTGAAGAAGAGGAACACACCTGAAAAAGAAGAGGTACAGGGGTGATGGAGGCAGAGGGAAGTGCAGATGCAAAGGATTGGAGGTGAAGAACGGTAAGGCTACAGGACAGTGTCCAAAGAAGGCAAGGGTATTCTGGAAGGTCCCCAAGGCTGGCTGTTGCAGGGCATTGTGGGCCATTTGGAAGAGTGTGGGATGTTATCCCATGGACACTGAGGAGCCCTGGTGGGGTTGCAGCCAAGGAGATTTATAATAGTGCGCAAGATGGATCCCGCTGGCTGCCCTGTGCAGGGTACATTAAAGAGGTTAAGAATTGGCAGATAGGAGTCCCAGAGTCTGCCAGGGCAGAGACCCAAGTAGGAGAGGGTGTAGCTGGACCCAGGGTGGGCCTGTGGGGAGAGGAAGACGTGAGAGAGACAGGAGTGTGAGTGGATCTCACAGCTGGGGCTGCGGGGAGAACTTAGTATGGCTTGGTTGAGAGATGTGGAGATTAAGAACTACATTTACTCATTCAGTCCTCCCAAAAGATGGGGAGGCAGACCTTTTTCACTCTGCCTTAGGGTTTCAACTGTGAAAAGTCAGTCTCAGAAGCTCACAGGGGCAGGTCTACCCTGTCCTACAGGGTCGCTGTGAGTGGTCATGAACTCCATGACAATGAGAGCTGCCTAATTTTGCTTATCTGTAAAGTAGGGTTAAAAATAGTTCCTCCCAAGAGGATTGCTGTGGGAGTTTAAGGACTAGAAGACTCAGTACAAAACCCCAGCAGGCATCTGCGACGATGATTCTTGGGCTGTGTTCTTTAGGTCTGTAGTGGCAGCATAGTGGATTTTACCTTGGGCTGCTTAACCGAAAGGTCAACGGTTCAAACCTACCAACCACTCCTTGGGAGACAGATGAGGTTCTCTGCTACAGTAAAGATTTACAGCCTTGAAAACCCACAGGGTTTCAGAATCAACTCGACAGTGGGTTGGGTTAGGTGTTGACTGCGTACGATTGATCCACAAAAGCGCTCGGGACACGGGGCTGGTACAAAAAGCCACCCCAAACCAAACCCTCTGCCGCCAGGTCAATTTCAACAGCTGTATTACCGTTTACATGATTAGTATTCTTACGGTCCCCGTTTAATCGATGAGGAAACGGAGGTTCAGAGAGGGCAGTTTGATTCCAGACTTGTGTATTACCAGAGTTCTTCTGCAAATATAGACTGGTTTCCATTCCCCCCCCAATTCCCCCCCACCAGGAGGAGATGAGCGGTTGGATGGAGGCCTTGACGTCCTCTGTGGCAGAACACGCAGAGATAGCTCGCTGGAGCCAGACACTCCCCACAACCTCATCCACAGATGAAGGCAACCCCAAGCTGCGGGAGGCCGGGGAGCGCAGGGCCAGCGGGCGCCGGAAGTGACGCCCCTGTCCAGGGGCCTGGCCGGGGCCCCTCCCCGTCCCCTCCTCTCCACTCTCCACTCTGTGGGCACAAAGACACTTTCTCTTTCCAAGGGGCAGGAGCCCCTAGTTGCAACACAGTGGACTTGGCATGACTGGCACTGGAAAAGAAGGGACTACTCCTGCACCCCCAAAAGTGGTGGAGGGAGAGCTGCCCCTATAGCCATATCTCGGCCCCTCCCCGCTGGCCACCTCCACCCCAGGTGCTGGGGCTCTATTATTTTTATGCAATACCTGAGCTTGAGGTGAGGCAGGGAGGGGACCAGTTGAGCCAAGTCCTCTGTCCCGACCCCCAGATCCTGACCCAAGAAGCTGGGGTGGTGGGGGCAAGAATTCCTGCCCCCCTCCCCACCCTAGGGATGGGAACGGGGGCGCTGGTGAGGTCCCCTGGACCGTCCAGGGTGCTAGGGGGTGGGGAGGGGACGCCCCCTCCCTGCCTTTACCTCACTTCCAATGCTGCCTTGATCTGTCTGGGAGGGGGAGGTGGGGGGAGCCCTAGCCCCCACCCCCCACGCATCCCACCGCCACCGAGCCATGCGCGGTTCATTCCTGACTTAGTTTATTTTTGCAAGATGTCAACCTCCCCCCCCCCTGCCCCGCATCTGCGAAGGCTTTCAAGGGAGGGGGCGTCAAAGCTCAAAACTGTCTTCCTCTCTCCTCCCCCCCTGCAGCTGTAAATGACCTTCCGTGAGGGGTGGGGCGAGGGGGAGCCCTCCCCCTGCATGCTTCTGGCTGGAGCACGTCCCTGGGGGGTGCGTGAAGGGCTAAAGGGGTTGTGGGCAGCCCCCAGGGCCTCCAGGAGAAGCCGCTGGGGCCCAGGGGTGTGGGGCGGTGTGGCGGGCGCACACTGTAAGTACCTATAATAAACCCTTCGGCTTTGACGGTCTGTGCTGGCTGGTCTGTGTTTTATGGGCCGCGCTTGAGAGAATTGGGGGAGTGGCCGAGAAGATCTAAATGTCTCTTGTGGTGGGGACTGAATTCGGGCTCCAAGCACGTGATCCAGAAGAGGGACCTAGACGCCATTCTTAAAAAAGGAGACACAGCCCCCGCCCCCCAAAAGAGGAGAACCTGGGAGGGATGGGGAAAGGTTTTGTTATGCCCGGGCTGCCAGTTCGCACCGTCCAGGTAAGGAAAGCGTGGCCCCTTTAAGGAGGCGGGTATGTCAGCTGTGACGGGCGAGCGCATTGACCAATCGCTGGCGGCCTGGGAGTCACCGGTCCAATGAGAGGAGTATGGGTGGGGTCTGGCTCCACACCCGGAAGTGGGCGCAGCCGGTGGGCTCGCCTGTGGATCATGGCAGCAGTGGCGACTGCAGCCGAAGGGACCCCAGGCCGGGGTCCCCCCGGGGAGGTGATTCATCTGAACGTGGGAGGCAAGAGGTGAGCGCAGAGAGAGCCCTTGGAGTCGGGGAGCGGAGTGGGAGTGCCTGCCCCTCGGGGGTGGGGGGAACCCCTGTCCATCAAGACTTGCTCCGCCTCCGGCTGGAGGCGCGAGAGCCTGGAAAAGTGCCGGGGAAACTCATCCTGTCTTGGGGAACAAGTCGCGCCCCTTCTTTTTACCGCCTCTTCCCCATCATCTTACGGGTCCGCTTACCCTCCCCATCCAGATTCAGTACCTCCCGTCAGACTCTTACGTGGATTCCAGACTCCTTCTTCTCCAGGTGATCCATTAGGAGAGCGAGTTTAGGGGCGTGGGTGGCTGAAGAGCAGTGTTGGGGAGCCCCAAACTCACCTCCTTCCTGCCCCCGCCCTTGACATTTGTTCTGCGGATCCTCCCTATAGCCTTCTGAGCGGACGCATCTCCACGTTAAAAGACGAAACTGGAGCGGTGAGTAGCAGTAGGGCAGGAAATGGGGGGGCCGGACGTGGAGGGGCAGGACCCCTCGCTCCCGACTCGGTCCGCACCTTGCCCTGTCCACCCTTTGTTGTCCCCCTTTCTCGCAGATCTTCATCGACAGGGACCCCACCGTGTTCGCCCCCATCCTCAACTTCCTCCGCACCAAAGAGTTGGACCCCAGGTTAGCATGGAGGTCAAAGGGCCGCCCAACTTCTTCACCCCACGAGAGGTCTCTTCCGCCCCTCACAATGTTCACGTAGGCTTCGCTCTATTAGAATTCTCATTCGGAATCGTGATCGCATTAAAAGTACAACATGCCACCAAGTCTTCCCCTCCCACCGCCAGGCAGAATCTTGACCCATCAGAACACCACGCCCCAGGGGCACTTTTGACGCTTGGAGGGGCCGTGGAGCTGGGTTCCCACTGATAGCAACCCTTGTGCAGGACAGGAGGAAACGGGCGATTCGGACGGGTCTTGTTCAGTTTGAGCCCATTGTTGCAGTTTGGAAACTACCCCGGCAGAATTCTCTGCCTCCTCTCTCAGACAGTGACTCTTAACGATTCTTCCACCCAGGGGTGTTCATGGTTCCAGTCTCCTCCATGAAGCTCAGTTCTATGGGCTCACTCCGCTGGGTAAGTGGAAGGCCTTGCTTAGCATTCTCGTTTACCTGGAAACCCGCCTTCTAATAGTGCACCCTGCCTGTGCCCTGGCCCCCTCTCTCCTCTCTCCTGAAATAAGATTGGGTTCCAGCTGAGAACTGGATTTGACCTTGCGTCCAAACGGAGTGATGGCATTCTGTGGGGCAAAGAGCTGAGGACCGGGAAGGGGCTCATCTCATATCCTCCGAAGCCCCAGCCATGGCGTTGTTCTTTCTCAGTGCGGCGCCTGCAACTTCGAGAGGAGCTGGACCGATCCTCTTGTGGAAATGTCCTGTTCACCGGTTACCTGCCTCCTCCAGGTGGGTGCTCCTAAAGGAGGGAGAGGGTGGTGAATTAAAGACTATATTTTCCCTGGGCCCCCAGCCCTTCCTGGGGGCCTTGCTTGTGCTAGGAGTCCTGAGACCATAATGGGAGTTGTAGTTCTGCTTCAGATGCTTGGAGAGGAAGTAAGAAACTGCATTTCCCATGAGGCAGTGGGGCACCTCGTGTGCTTTGAGCCTCAGATGTGTGCCATAGAGGCTGATGGGAGTTGTAGTTCAGCTCTGATTTCCCAGTGGGTTGCCTGATATGCTGGGGTCCTTGGCATGGCAGAGAGAAGTATTAAAGAGGAGTTTGGAACAACCATCCCCTTGAGACCGGAGCCATTAGCCTACGAAATATCGAATTGTTTATGACTCATAGTGACCTTGTACAGATCAATAGGTTTTCTGAGACTGTAAATCTTGACAGGGTGTAGACAGCCACCTCTTTCTTCCACAGGGCTGATCGTAGGTTTGAGCCTGGGGCCTTTCAGTTAACAGCCCAATGCTTGTCCTATAGCACTGCTTTAAAAATGCAACCAAGGGGTGGGGTGGGGGGATGAGGAGCTAATACTAAGGGCTCAAGTAGAAAGCAAATGTTTTGAGAATGATGACGGCAACAAATGTACAAATGTGCTTGACACAATGCATGGGTGTATGGATTGTGATAAGAGTTGTAGAAGCCCCCAGTAAAAAAAAAAGTTTTTAAGTGCAACCAAGCTCACTGCCAACAAGCAGATGCCAACTCATGGTGACCCTATAGGTCAGGGTAGAGCGGTTCCTAGGTTTCAAAGACTGTAACTCTTGCTAGGAGTAGGAAGCCTCATCTTTCTCCCTGGGAGCGATCAGTAGTTTCGAACTTGCAATTAGCAGCTCAGCTTTTAACCACCATCGAAACCTCCAGCAGCTGCTTCCGTTGAGATGGACAAGACTTCACAGTCTCCGTACGAGTTGGAATGAACTCAAAAGCAGTGAGGCATTGCCGCTACGGAATATTTGTCCCAGGGGTTATTGGGAACTGTAGTCCACTGGACTGTGCTGGTTGAGGGAAAGAACCCAGTAGGGAAATTGTCACTTATAGCTGTATTTCCCTAACCTCAACCATTACGAACTGCCTTCTTGACATGTCCCGAATATGAAGACCGGTGCTATTATTTTAGTAACTTAGGTTTACTTGGGTTACAAAGATTTTTTAGATAGGGATCTTGTATCAGGATCTGTCCACCACAGACACGAAGTCAACATGGAAATTCAACCCATCTGAACCCTGGCAGTCTCCTTCAGTTCAGCAGAGCGAGAGGTGGCTTGGTCCGCTCCATCTCCGTGATCGCACACAACCGAAGGCTTCCAGTAGCATGTAACCCGGGGCTTTCACTGTCCCCTCTTCAGGAGTAGATCACGAGGCCCTCCTCCTGTCTTCCTAAACAGACAGCAAGCCGACATTGAGCTCCGGCTAGGTTCTGTTCCCTACCAAGGGTTTCCTTGCTCCCGTGGGTTTCAAAGGAAATCTTAGCAAGTATTAAGATGCTCTTGTGACCCAGTGGTTAAGTGCTGTCCACCAAAGGGCCCTTCTCAGCCTGCCCTTCCGCAGGCGTGACATGGCTGTAAAGACCCCAAACCAGTCCAACCAGTGCCGTGGGGTTCATTCTGACTCTTAGCCACCCTACCACCTTGGAAACCCTTGGGGCGGTTCTCCATCGTCTGCGGGCTGGCGTTGATTCCAGGGCAGCTGCTATGAGTTGGTTGGTGTTCCGGTTTGTCGATTTCTGTTATTGTAAGCTGTATCAAGAGAGCCTTCCTCTGTGGCCCCTGCAGGAGGAATAGCTCTCAGTGGGGTTTTATGAAATAGAAACGTTTACAGTAACAGCAGGGTTAGCGTGGAAACTCAACTCAAAGTGTGGTGGTGGGCAGCTGCCACTGGCGCTGCCTGAGTTCTAAGTTGTTGGCACCGTGTCCCGGCACCACCTAAAATGGGCCAGGTCAGCACTGCACCACTAGGGACAGGCAGGGTTGTCCTGATTACAATCACTAAAGCCCCGCCCCGCCCCCAACTCCGCCTCTGCCCCCAGTGTTCCCAGTGAAGCGAAGAAACCGGCATAGCATGGTGGGGCCCCAGCAGGCAGGGGGTCGCCCAGCCCCTGTTCGACGGAGCAACACAATGCCCCCCAACTTGGGCAACGCCGGACTGCTGGGCCGCATGCTGGAGGAGAAAGCTCCTCCACCCTCAGGTAGGCTTCTGCCTCCAACTGTGGGGACCCCCGTAATGCCAGGGTAATCCTTGGGAGCCCCTGTGAACCTTCCCTGACCCCGACTCTCCCCCATCCCCACCTAGGGCTACCCGAAGAGCCGGGCATGGTGCGGCTGGTGTGTGGGCACCACAACTGGATCGCCGTGGCCTATACTCAGTTTCTTGTCTGCTACAGGTGCTTGGTGGCCCGGGGGCAGCGCCTTTGAGCCCTGGTGGCAGGGGAGGACTGGGGGTGAAGGTTGATGATGTGTCGCTCCCCACTCCCACCCCCATCCTACAGGCTGAAGGAAGCCTCTGGCTGGCAGCTGGTGTTTTCCAGCCCCCGCCTGGACTGGCCTATCGAGAGACTGGCCCTCACGTCCCGAGTGCCCGGCGGGGCTCTGGGCGAGCATGACAAGATGGTGGCAGTGGCCACGGGCAATGAGATCCTGCTGTGGGCGCTGCAGGCCGAAGGCGGGGGCTCCGAAATAGGTACGGGCCCCAGGCGCCTCAGGCTTCCCCTGGGAGACGCCGGTACCCATTAGACTTTTGCACCCACCTCTGCCTCCTAGAGCTGTGGACCCATCAGAATCTCCTGTCCGTTCGGATGTCCGGCCCCATCGGGATGCTATGGATGGTAGAACTAGCTCCTTGTTAGTTACTGTGGAGCCCGCTGGGACCCAGGGCGCCCTGAGCTAGCCAAACTGCAGCTCACAGTCATCAGTCAATCCTGACTCCTAGCGACCCTACAGGACCCGCCTCAGTGGGGTTCTGAGATTGTAAGCCTTGACAGGAGCAGGCGGCCTCATCTTCCCCCCACGTGGCAGCTGGCCGTTCCACACTGCCGACCATGCGGTGGACAGCACAGTGCTTACTCGCTGCTGTCACCAGAGGCGCGTACCGTCTCCATAGCTGTTGCTGCTGCTGCTGCAGGGGGGCCCTCCAACCTAGACACGGCTTTTGTCTTCCAGCAGGACTGTCAGACGGTTCTGTCGTGATCCACAAGGCTTTCATTGGCTCGTGGTTGGCCACAGGTCTCCAGGCCTTTCTGCCTCGTGTCTCTCAGCCTGGGAGCTGCAGCAAACGCTGTGCCCTTGGGTGGCCCAGCTGGTATTTGAGATTCCAGTAGGAGAGCTACCTTCCAGCATGACAGCCAGCACTAAGCTGCCACCGCATGATTGGCGGGTGGTGGGTAGAACTCTCTCCCCCAGTAGAACTTTATAGCTGTTCAAATAGTCCATCTGGTGGAATTCCAGAAGCCATCAGAATCTCTGCCCCCTTAGAACCCGCTGCCTTACCTGACGCCCAAACCCTAAGAAAATCCACCCGTCCTGGCCCCGGTCAAGGTCTCTCAGGAGTACTCACTGGGCTGCTAGCCACAAGGCCAGCACTTGGAACCACCAGCCATTCCGAGGGAGAAAGACAAGGCTCTCTGTTCCTGTCATAAGTGACAGTCTGGGAAACCCACGGGGGCAGGGTCCACCCTGCCCTATAGGGTCTCTGTGAGTCGGAATCCAGTTGGTGGCCGTGGGAGTCAGGTGGATTCTCCATTGAGAATGCTCCTTCCCTTTCCGACTCTCTGGCTTATTAGAATCATCTGCGCCCTCACACCGCTCTGTCCTCGGGAGCACCCTCCTGCAGCCAGAGTTTTTGAGTTTCAGGTTTCATCCGAAGCAGGACCCCATCCTCCAGGTGCTCCTGGGAGGGGTCCAGGCCCACCCCAATCCACTAGCCTCTGGGGTTTTCCTCTCCCCTGTGGCAAGGCAGGCCCCACCCCCTGCTGAGCCCTCTCTGCCTCTGTAGGAGTCTTCCACCTGGGGGTGCCGGTGGAGGCCTTGTTCTTTGTGGGCAACCAACTCATTGCCACCAGCCACACGGGGCGCGTCGGGGTGTGGAACGCCGTCACCAAGCACTGGCAGGTGAGTGCTCCCGTCAGCCTGGCTTCCTGCCCCCTCAGTGGCCAGCCAGCTCACGCAGCAGCGCCAAGGCAGGTTCCTTTCTGCCCTCCCCCTACTGGGGAGCACCAGGGGCCACAAGGGACAGATCCTGGGCATGTGCACTACAGGCTTAAGGGGCCTCCTGGAGGGCCTCTTGGAGGAAGGGGCTGCCCACGCTGAAGGATCGGTAGGGTGGGTTTGGAAAGGAGATTCTCCAGACACTGGGTAGGGAGCGGGCCGCAGGGAGATGGTGCAGGAGGCAGAGACCCACAGCAAGAGACCAGCCGACATGTCCATGCATGGTGTTGCTTGTCTATACCAAAGTGTGAGTGTGGGGGAAAGAAGGAGATAAATACAAACACCACGGCAAAGAAAACAGCAGGAGGCAACACGGGGAGAGAGAGAGAGGTAGACAGAGAGCAGCCAGGACTGCATGACCAGGACAGTTACAGGGACAGAGAGAAAGGAGAGATAGAGAAGCGAAAACCAAACCAGACCCACTGCCAGTAAGTCGGCTCCGACGCACAGAGCATGGTGGCCCTGCAGGGCAGGGTAGGACTGCCTCTGAGAGACTGTCACTCGTTACGGGTGTAGAGAGCCTCGTCTTGTGCCCGTGGAGTCTCTGGTGGTCTCAAACTGCCGACTTGGAGGTGAGCAGCCCCATGTGTAACTATGACACCACCAGGGTCCCCTAAGAGCTGGAGACGCAGAGTAACGTCAGAGGAGAAGCAGAGTAACAGTGTGGACGAGAGGCTGAGAGACAGGCAAAGGCTCGCCCGAGGGAGATCCGACCAAGACAGGGAGAGCATGGGCGAGGCCGGGGAAAGACGGGCCAGCAGCTGCCTGTGGGTTCTGCAGAGGAGAGGGGCGGGGGGCTCTGGGCTCGGGCTAGGGGGAAGCCAAGGCCTGAAGGTGACCATGGCCACGGCCTGCCCTCAGGTCCAAGAAGTGCAGCCCATCACCAGCTACGATGCAGCAGGTTCTTTCCTCCTCCTGGGTTGTAACAACGGCTCCATCTACTACGTGGGTGAGCAGTGCCCCTTGCTCCGCAGGTGCCGGAGAGCCTTCCCAGGATGGAAGATGGGGAGGGGACGGGCTGGGGCACCTTGACCAAACCCACTCCACCCCATCCCCACCCCCCACCCTAGATGTGCAGAAGTTCCCCCTCCGCATGAAGGACAATGACCTCCTGGTCAGCGAGCTCTACCGGGACCCGGCGGAAGACGGGGTCACCGCCCTCAGTGTCTACCTCACACCCAAGACCAGTAAGCTGTGACCCCCAGCTTCCCCCCACGACCCTCCCCATCCATCTGTCCTCCCCCACAGTATCCGGGGAGCATGGCTGAATGGGATTCATCAGGGTGGGGATGGACTCACAGGACTCCTGTTGCTAAGCTGCCCCACAGTGGCAGACCAGACCCCACGTCATCAGTCTTTCTGTGTCTTTCCATCTGCGTGATCCGGGCACCCTAGTGCTGCTGTAACCGAACTACTACAGTGGGCTGGTTTTCAAGAACAGAAATTTACTCTCGAACGAACGGGAGGCCAGCACTCCAAATCGCAGGCCCGGCTCCAGGGGAAGGTGCTCTCCCCGTGTCTCCTCTGGGGGGAGATGATTGCCTCGGCTTGGGCGATTCCACCCTCACCCCCCGCCTCACACACCCCCCAGTGTTCCTCCGTGCCTTGGCAATCTCCACGTGGCCCACTTCTCCTTCAGTTCAGCCTTCTTTTTCAGAACGGGTTTTTGTGTTGTTTCTGTCTTGTTTGGTTGACTTCAAGTGCCATGGAATAGGCCAATTGTTCCCGTTTGTTTCCATTGGGATAGAATTCACAGACTGTCAAGTTCACCATTTAAGCATGTACACTTCAGTGGGTTTGCGTGTACTCACACGTCGGTGTAACCATCACCGCCATTTAATTCTAGCACATCTCATCAACTCAGAGAGAAACTCATTAACAGTCTCTCCTCCATCTCAACGGAACTTTTTGTTGTTCAATCATTTTATTGGGGGCTCGTACAACTCTTATCACAATCCATCCATTGTGTCAAGCACATTTGTACATCAACTGAACTCTTATGTATAGTGTGAGGTAGGGATCGGGCTAATCCCCGCCCCCCCCCCATATATATATATATCAGTTGTTGTAGCAGGAATGTGTTCCTAATACATCTAATATCCAAGCAAAGGTTCGCTCTCCCCTGTCTTTCTTATTCATTCTTTTTTCTCTCCATCTCCCTCCTCTCACGGACCACCATTCTGTCCCGTTTAGCCTTCATCTTCTCATTTCTGTGGACCTTTCCAAACAGATATTGTTCTTTCTGACTTGTTTTTATTCATAAAGTGCTGGCTACGTCTATCAGATGACCAGTGGACTTTTCCCACCGACCACACCCTAGATGTCATACCTGTCCGTATTGCAGTGCGTATCCCTAATCCATCCTCCTGCCCGCTGCACTAAATACTCCAACCAAGTTATGTTGACTCTAGTTACTGCGGATATTCCACTAAGTTTCTGGCAATTGCAAAATTCTCTGCCCCCTGTGGACAGTGGTCAAGGGCTTGAGTCCCTCAAACACACAGGGCTACATTTTCTCTCTTCGCCATCTCTATCTGTTTATGTCTCTGGGCATTTCTGCCCCTCGAATCCCCTCTTCCCCTTTGTCGCTTTCTTTATATCTGGTGTGTGACTCAGTATCCCTATTCTCTATGCCTTCTGCTTTTCTCTTTCTCTTCCCCTCTCTTAGGAGCCCTGGTGGTGTAGTGGGTTTTGTGCTGGGCTGCTAACCAAATGGCCAGCAGTTCAAACCCACCAGCCACTCCATGGGAGAAAGATGAGGCTGTCTACTCCTGTAAAGACTTACAACCTCGGAAACCCCAGGGGGCGGGGGGCGGTTCTACTCTGTACTGCAGGGTTGCTGTGAGTCAGAATTGACTCAATGGCAGTGAGTTTGGCTTGGCTTGCGGGGGCCCCCCCCCCCAATTTCTGCAGTCTCTCTCCCTGATCTGCCCTTCAGTCTCCTGTCCCTCCATCCCCTGCACGTCCACCCTAGTTGACAGAGTGTCTGTGTCAGCCCCTCTCTCTGCCCATTGGCTTCTGTCTTTGACCCACCCCTCCTGCCGACCACCTAGTCCCGCCCTGGTGCCTTCTCCGCAGGTGACAGTGGGAACTGGATTGAGATTGCCTACGGCACGTGCTCGGGCGGCGTGCGGGTCATCGTGCAGCACCCGGAGACGGTGGGCTCGGGCCCACAGCTCTTCCAGACCTTCACGGTGCACCGCAGCCCCGTCACCAAGATCATGCTCTCCGAGAAGCACCTCATCTCAGGTGGGCCCGGGTCGCCGCCTGCAGGAGAGGCGCTGGGAAGACGGCAGAGGAGGCTTGTCCCTGGGGAGACACGTTCTGGGCTGGAGACCTGGCAGGGGCGGGGGTTGGCATTGAGACCAGGAGGGACCTGTGGGAACAAGGGAATCCTCGGAGGGAAATCAGGCCGCGGAGCGTGAGTTGGGGTGTAGAAGGGACTCCACAGATAATTGTCGAGGACCCACTTGGTGCCCAGCATGCCTCAGTGATAGCCACCCTCCATAGGGTTTTGGGGGCTGGGCATCTCGATGGGAACAGACCGTGCACTGTCTAAGCCATAGTGCCACCAGGGTACCTGGACTATACACGGCCCCAAACCAGCGTCAGGTGATGAGAAATGCGAGGAAGCAGGAAAAAGCAGAGTGAATGGCTCTCGGTGGTTTCCGGAGAGAGGCCACCTGAGAAGGGGCCTTCGGAGCAGAAATGAGAGGACCAGCCTTGGGATCAGCGGGGACAAGTGTGTCAGGCAGAGGGAACCGCTCCACGGAGGCTCTGAGGCCAGAGGTGACTTGGCCTTTTGAGGAAGCGCAGAGGCCCTGTGGATGGAGTGGAGTGGCAGGGGGTGGAGAGCAGAGGTGCCAAGGTCAGGGAGGGAGGGGACAGCTGGGGGAGGGGGTGGCTGAGGTCAGGCGTGAGCAATCAGGGGAGCGACTTTGGAAGGACAGCCCGCAGGCTGACTGTCAGACCTTTTAGGGATCAGAGACTTCTCAGAAAGTGCAGCCAGGCCTGACCTGCCGGCCCCCACCCCCTATCCCCCACTTGCAGTCTGTGCCGACAATAACCACGTGCGGACGTGGTCGGTGACACGTTTCCGGGGCATGATCTCCACGCAGCCTGGCTCCACCCCGCTAGCATCCTTCAAGATCCTGGCGCTGGAGGCTGCGGATGGACACGGGGGCTGCAGCGCAGGCAACGACATTGGTGCCCACCTGCCCCCACCCCACTGACCCTACCTGACCTCTTCCCCACCCTTGACCTCCACCCATCCCCAGCGGACCCTAGTGGCCTGAACTGACCCACCCAGCCGACCTAGCCAACCCCCTTTGACCTTCACCTGGGCCCCCACAAACTGACTCATGATGCCCACCCCACCCCACTCCTGCTCCCTGTTGTTCCCCAACTCCAGTGACTGTGGCTGACCCCTACCCACCTCTGAGCCCCCAGGAGGGGGCTGTGGTGGGGCAGCAGAAAGGGAGCAGAGCTGTGGGGACCCCAGCGGGCCCTGACCACTACCTCTGCTGGCCCAGGTCCCTATGGGGAGCGGGACGAGCAGCAGGTGTTCATTCAGAAGGTGGTGCCCAGCGCCAGCCAGCTGTTTGTACGCCTCTCGTCGACGGGGCAGCGGTGAGCACTCCCCCGTCGGGTGGGGAGCACGAGCAGAGCTGGGTCTGGTGGGAGGGTCCCAGGCAAGGGACCCTGAAGGGCAAAGGTTGGGAGAGAAGGCAGTCCTGGGGCTCTGGAGGCTGGAAGTCCCAAATGTGTGACAGATACAGGGCAGGGACCTGCAGCTCGGTCAGGGCCAGCAAGGAGGGGGACCAGGCCAGCGGCAGGCTGGGGGCAGCGGCAGGAAGCTGTCAGAGCCACCGCTGCTGCTTGCCCAGCTTGGGAAGGGGGGCCCAGGAGGGCTCCCTTGAAGGGGACTGAGCAGAGTCCTGAGGGATTTACAAGAGGAGGGAGGGGAAAGGGGTCCTGGGTGCAGGGGCAGGGTTGGTAGCGTGTGCACGGCTTGGAAAAGGTCCAGTTGTGTCATCAGCCCAGTGGGGGGTCGGGGAGGGGTGTGCCCTGCTGTGACAGAGATGGAGAGGAGGGGCCAGGAACCCAGGGAGGAGGAGGGACCAGGGATGTGGCGTAACTGAGGCAAGCCGGAGTGGGGGTGGCATAGCTGCTCAGAGGGACAGTCAAGAAGAGGGGAGTAGCCAGGGGAAATGAGTTGGGGTGGGGGAGTAGTCAGGGCAATGCAAGGAGCTGGCTGTGGGAGGAGGAGCCAGAGGGAGGGCCCATTGTGAGGGGGCCTGAGCTCAGGAGAGGGCAGAGAAGGAAGCAGGTTGTGCCCTGGGTGGCCTCTCACCAGCTCTCCCCCACCCCACAGGGTGTGCTCTGTGCGGTCTGTGGACGGCTCCCCCACCACCGCCTTCACGGTGCTCGAGTGCGAGGCCTCCCGGCGCCTCGGCTCCAGGCCCCGGCGCTACCTGCTCGCCGGCCAGGCTA